ACATATTAAATATATAATTGCATTCAAATAATCATACAATCAAAAACAAATGAATATATTTTCTCCCCATTTAGATTATAGTAATCATTGGGTTTGAGAATTGAATCGATAAGCAAAAGCTAACATTATATTAGTTATAAAAATAACACTTTAAATAAAGTAATCAAATGTTTAATTCATACTTTCAATGATTTATTTACACATATTATTATAATTTTTAAAAGCGATGTCTTTTATGCCGTAATGTTAGACTCCGTTGGAGTCCAATACTATAATAAATAGTTATTTATTTTTATCCCAAATTTTATGATTCAATTCAATAATTATTATATTTAACTATAAAATCAATTATTTCATAATACGTGACTTTATATTAATAGTTTCTATGTATTTTCCACGTCATTACAAATTATGTAATAAACTAAAAAATCTTGAATTTATTTCTAATATTTAATCAAATATGCACCAATATTCACATAAGTTATATAAAAATCCTACTGTATTTGAAAGCAATTCAGATTAATGTTTACTTTTCAAATATTTAAGGCGTTATATAATTTTTACTCATTAAGTAATAAATCATAATACTAGCGATGTCTATATGTATTGACATTTAATATTTAAATTTTTTAATAACACCTAACTGTAATTACTAACTCGCTTTTCACAGATTCTTGAGCATCGGTTAAAAATAAAAGTGTATTTGTATTACATTTTCATACAAATATCGCATAGCTCTGTAAAGTTATAACCTTAACTCTAAACGCATTTAAATTAAGGTAAAACTTAATTTAAGGTAAAAACTTTTAACAAAAGTAAACAAAACTATTCATATTTAATAGAGTATAACAGAAAATATGATTTTTAAATACTTTTCAATTCATCTTTTCTTTACATAAAGACATTCAAAACATGTTTGATTTGTCTTCATATAAGACTTATTTGCAATACAATAAAATTGATTTCTTTTAAAAGTCGATGACAATAGTACAGACTTGTAAAATATGAATAATTAGATTAATTAAAATTTATTTACAATAATAAATAACATTTATGTCTGAAAATAAAACTTACAAAAATATTATACATTAATTTATGTAGAGTACAACAACTATTATATAATGCATTTCACATTGTTAATGAATTATGGTATTTCATGTGAAATATCAATAACAAAAGCATTACACGTTTTTGGGAAAAAGTAATGTTAGCCTCAAATTAAACTAATTTTTATTTTAAAAAAAGACTTAAAATAAACGAAATCAATGCTTAAATATAGCATCACATTAATGTCTCCGCATATCACGAGTAATGAAAACCAATTTATTTTGTCATTTCAGACGCGAATCCAAATCCATAACTCTATGGCAAACATTTGTAGTCATATTTAACTCGGATGACCGAAATAGCAGTCTAAGCGTAAACACAATTGAAGTTTACTTTAGGTTTTCACTTCGCACACTACATATTAAAACACAAAAATTGAAATTTTAATATAAATAATAAATGAATGAAAAAATATTGTTTTTTCATGTCCTAAAAGAAATATATATATAACTCATATCGCATATCTAGTTTTTAACCATTTATTTCACAAGATTCACATTGAAATCAAAAGCGGCTTTCGATTTAAATTTTAAAAACTAATTTCATATCATAAGTGCGAAAAAAGTATTTCAATAACTTTTCCTTTAAATATTCAAGTGTTTAGAAAGTGGTTTCATAAGGAATATAATGGAAATGTTGTCGAAAAAAGTTTATTTGATTTTTGTGATGTTTATATTATCGACACAACTATTAGTGGACCAAAATGTGGTTGAGTGCCGGTATATGGATAAGGTGTTGTTGATTACCAATGTCAATTCACCGCCGATTGTGATCGTCCGAAAGGGCACCAGAAGGAGACCCGGAAAGATCATTGTCATCCAGGGATGAGACATACAAACCCATCACTATCTACATATAAAAACACACTTTTATACTATAATTACTGATAAGTTGTTTACTATATTTAACGTATAAACGTATTAAGTTTTTTAATATCCTAAAAATTTAATCTTTTTTGACATATTTGTTAAATGACTTAATAATATATTACACCTGATGTATTTATATAATATATACACACACAACTATAAAATGTCTAATCTTTATTTTATATGAACGATTGTTTTCAAATAAGTATATAATTTAATGGCAATCAATAAAACTTAATTTTCTGGATGCGAACATTTTTTGTGAATCACTTTTTCTGCCATAAAATTAATTATTTCTACTTATTTTTGAAGGTAATTGTGATGTAATTTGAGAGGAAAAGTGATTTTGGAAAGCGAATACTTTTAGAGCAAAACCAATAATCCCTTTCCCATACCTCCTATACCTATCCCTACGCACAACCCGTGAGTAGGCTATCCTTCAGACGAACCGCTGATAAAAGAAAAGCTTTTATTTTCAGATATACTGACAAAACTCTATTCGCATAAAACTCAAACTCAAAATGTATTTGTTTTGACATAAATAATGAAATACAAGGAAATACAAAGAAGAAAATTTATCATAAAATTTGATTACTATTAACAAAACAATGACAATAGAGAAATATAAGCAACAGTAGTAGTCGTAGTGATGGCTATTATAATATTTATTAATGAGTTGTGATTTTGTTTCTTTCTTCTCGCTTATTATTATGATTCCCGTATTTAAGACAAACTTCTGATTAGAATCTCTATTCCAGTGACGGGTTATGTCATTGAATTGATGTCACATTTTGTGAGCTGAGAGAAAAAGCCAAACACTTTCTCCGCCACTAAACACATCACACCATCAAATGATTTACATTAATAGTAAATCATTTGGGATACAGGAGTCAAATAAATGAGAAGTTTTTTCCGCTCGCACTTACTTACTAATAAAACTTCATTTGAAATTCAATCATAATTTTTTTATAAATCGCTTAAATGTTTACTTAATGCTAAATGAAAGCGAAAGCTTTAATAAACGAGTTGTTATTAAAATACTTTCTTATTATTTTGAAAGGTATACCAAATTATTTCATTGTTTTTTGTTGTAATAATAATTGTTCACACATTCTGTGATTTTATTATTATATTAAAAGTGTGTGGTTTTGTTTAAATAAACAAAAGTCTTATTGTTTTTACAGTTTTAATACTAACTAATGGTAATGAAAATGATGTTCAGTTTGACTTTAATAAGTATTTCAAAGTTAATGTAGCGACTAATGTAAGTCTAAAAAGTTATTATTAATTAATTAATTGTTAATATAGTGTTGACTAACGACATAATTATTAACTAATCAATAATCCATAGGATCATAAAAGTAATTTTAAAAGTGAAATCATCAATAATTAAATCCATTAATGACTTTATAATAAATTAACGACATACCTTTCCTTTATTGTCTTAAAAATATAATTTCTTTCAGTTTTGTTAATCAAACGAATCTTTTAATAAATTATTCATAAGAAATACTTTTCTAATTTAAAAGGTATTTATTAGTGTTTAGCCATAAAGTTATCGCTAATAAAATTATATTTTAAAAGCTAACTGTTAAAAAATAAACATTTTATTTTGTTTAAAACATTAGAAATTGAATTTTCCCAGGAATAAATTTATACAGAATCTTATTTGTTATTAAATTTCAATTAAGATATGGCCTAATGTAATCCATTAAATTTTTATTAAAATATTAATACATTAAAAAATAGATTACAATCAAAAATTTTAACTTAAGGTTTATACATAAAGTGTTTATTTTTACACACATTACTAGTTTGTAGTGAAATCATCGATAAAAACCCATTCATTAATCTACGGATTCATTGAAACAAAACTAATGTTTCCTTTCGTGACATTTCTCTTACGAGTCATTGATTTTCAATAATAAGTCATTTCACAAACTTCTTAGAAGCCGACCGTCTTTGAAAAGATGGTCACACTATACAACCCGCACGTCTGGCCCGGACCTAACGACACCCACCACTCGTCGACCACCACACCTATGCCCTCCCGGAGACCAAACAAAGCGAAGTTTGTGTTTGGTTTGAGACGATCGGCGGCTGAGTCTAGGAATCAGGGCTACGGCTATGACTACAACATCACACAACCCGTTCCACCCGTTACTCCCTATCCCTCTGTTGAATACACTCCGACCATAGATACATATAATAGAAAGTTCTATGACTTGAATTTCAATCAAATTAATAACAATACGGCTTATAATCGATACAATACTTCGAGAAACTTTACCCGATTTAGGTCTGTCCCCACATATCGCTATGGGTATCGACAAACAGCCCGGCCTGTATGGACCGTCTATAACATAACGCACACAGTGCCAGACTATCAACACCTGTCCCCAGACTACTATCCCGACAGAACTATAGTTAGAGTACAAAACTTTTCCCAAGACTTCCCATACTATCCAAACCTGTCGCGAGACTTATCCGGTGTTAGAAACTTCACACTTCAGACAATTAGTAATCAGACTTCAAACACATCGTTCAGATGTGAATACATGAGATATTTTGGATATTACGCCGACGTCTCATCCAATTGTCGGGTAAGCCATAAATATTACGTTTAATTTAATTAATGGGAAAAAACAGTAATAAAGAAAGTGTCGCTTAATTTAATTTAAAGCATTAAAAATAAACTTTAAATAAATTAAACATTTTAATTAAATGTATTTTCGTTATTTTGTTTAATTTTTCAGTTTATATTAAATTAATTATTCTAAAATTCAGCTTTTTATATAGACTAAAAGGCTTTAATTTTTTGGTTTTTTTCATTTGAAAATCGCGTGCCGGGACTTAACTATCCGAAAATGTTTGTTTTAAATTGAAATAAATTTGATTTTTACATTAAAAATAATGATTTGCATTCCCATGAGGTCTTCCACGTGTGCACACCTGATGGTCGGAAGGCATCGTTTGTCTGTCCAAACGGCCTGTTATTCAACCAAAAGCTAACTGTCTGTGACTGGCGTTATAACGTGGAGTGCGAGCGATCCGTTAGCTTTTACGACACCAACCTTATTAAGTTTGATAACTGGAATCGACTATTATTTAGCAAAAAGTAATACAAACTATTCATAAATAATCAGACCTTTACAATTATTTAAAAAGTTAAAATTTACAAACAGAAATTAAAAATAAAACTTACAGTAAAATAATACAATGCATGAATATTTAGATAATAATTCATTAATTTTATTTTCTTTCTACTTTTACTACCCTTTCGACTCAAACACTACTTTCGTATTTGTATTGTATATAAAGTGCAATAAATTATATAAAAAATTATTAATCTGTAATAAAATACAAAGAATCATGTAAAATATTAATATAAAATATAATTATTCATAATTCCCTTTAAAAATACTCAAAATTTATCTAAAATGCTAGGGATGTGTCAATTTGTTTTTATATAACTCATAGCTCACCAAATTTCGTAATAATATTACTTTTATTATAACATTATATATTTTTGTTAAATATTGTTAAATGATAAGTAAATAATATTTTTTGTTTGCTGTAAACTCTTGTTTTATAATAAAATTTTCTCATTTCATAATAATTAAACTTATCTAGAGAAGTGTTTTGTTTTAAAGTATTTTGTTAAATATTGTTAAATGATAAGTAAATAATATTTTTTGTTTGCTGTAAACTCTTGTTTTATAATAAAATTTTCTCATTTCATAATAATTAAACTTATCTAGAGAAGTGTTTTGTTTTAAAGTATTTTGTGTGTAAAATGTGTTGAAATCATTATAAAGTACACAAACTTTTAAACTATTTTCCCAATCACAGACGTATGAAATAATATTATCCTCGTGTGCATAAAATATCATTAAAACATTAATTTAAGCTAAAATTATATGAACATTTATAACATTTTACTATTATTTTCTTTATAAAATTCAAAAAGACTTTTTAGGCCTATTTTTAAACATTCTTGGTTGCTCTAAAGTTTTATAAAATTACCAATTACCAATAGGTAAAAGGTTAGCAAACACTGTTATATACATTTACTATATTTTATATTAAATTCAAAAAGACTATGAAATTTACTATATTATTATTTATTAGTATTAGTATTTGATATTATTAACTAATTTTATCCACACTTTTAAAATTATTTATTTTACAGACTGTAAAAGTGAATTTAATATACAGATAAAATATTGTTAGATATAAACTTTATATATTATAAAGCTACTATTTAATTATACTAATAAAGTTTTAAGTTCAATACTAACATAAATACCGGTATTAAGAGCGTGTAAAAGGGCTAAAAGATTGTTATTAAAGGGCTTTAAACATAATTACCCGGGTACAACAACACTGCATAAATGAGTGTATAAATGGTTCTATGAAACCAGAAGTGTAAAGCCCTAAAAAGTCCTAGGACAAAGTCCTTTTGCTAGCTTGCACTAACAATTTTTATAAATGATTTATATTTTAGTTTAATAATATTCATAGAGTTTTAACTTAAAATTTAAGCCTTAAATCAATGATAAAATGATATTTTACTAAAATAGCAATTTAATTATAGTTGATTTTTAATATTGTTCTTACTTTTTAATCGATAATATGAACAGTTTTTTAATTAAAAATATTATCAACTTATTATAAATTATTAAATCAATCTTAGATATATTTTCAATCAAGTAACATTACAAGTAACAGTAGAAATGAACAAACAATTTATTAAATCAACATTATCATTTATAAATAGTGTATTATCAAGAAAGTATTGCACATAAAAAATACATTCCCATGTGTTCATAACATTGATTAAAATTTTTGTTTAGTTACAAACAATAGAAAAACAAAACTTTAGATAAATTAAAATATAAATTAAAGGTAATATGAGTATTTAATTTTACAATTACATTAGATTTTTAAAAGGTGACATTAAAATAGACACTGATGAAAAGTCAATTAATGATAAGCATACAGCATGTCTGATGAATGGATGATTTTTGTTGAGCTCATGAAAGCAATTATTGAGCACTCGATTCAAAAAACATAATGACTTCTAAAGAGTTAATTACAGCAAATAGAAAATGGTTTAACTCATAGCCCAACGATAATTGTCCTGAAGTTGATATCCATGGAGTCCGTTGACAATGTTATTCAGTATCTGCGGCGCCGGCATTGGGGGCTGGGATTGAG